ATCACAGATATACTTGTTGCTTACTGGCCTGCCAGTAATGACGTGACACATATTTAAAGCACATAACTGATTGCGAGGCCTTAAATCCCGACCTTGAATCCTATTATGTACGGTATTTTTATTCAAACTGCAGTTCAAATATTAATGGGGAAAAATCAGAAATTATTACTTCCGTATATGTTTTCTGTTCTGTTCACTACTATTTATTAAACTGTTGGAAATTACTAAATGAACCACTGTACCAACATTTATTCCTTAATTTGTCGCCCTCCCGTATGCCACCAAGAGGCAAGAGAATTAAGGCGAGCCACTTCATTAGCGCCCTCTAACTAAATGCGCCTCATGGAAGGCGAGCCACTTCATTAGCGCCCTCTAGCTAAATGCGCCTCATAGGGGTGTTCCAAAAATACGTATACACATTATAAATGGAATATCAACCTTGTGTGAATACACCTTTTGAGACATCCTATATCATTTTTGACATGGTCACGTATTCTCACGTTCTGAATTTAAACAAAGATTAAGATATGAAATATTTCATGGATCAAAACATTGTTACGTTATAAAAGTGTTATAAAAGTATTTTAAAACCGCACTAGACATACTAATGATGCAATATATCGCCATACAAATTTCTTAGGTCAGCTTATGAGTACGAATCAGTAGTTTCCATCACTGCATCAAACAGTTCGCGCAGCCGCCATGTTACTTTACAGCGTCCTCTAACATCTCTATACTTTTCGAAGACGTATCGACAAACAAAACCTAAGACCCTAGGTTCCACTGTTGCTCCCACCTTAAAAGCATCACGGTGGTCACGTTGGTACGCTTGCTGATTGGAAGACGGGCTGGCCTATCGAGACGCGGAGGTATCCAAAACTGGGTTCCAAAAGCAAACACTTCTTTATAAATTGTTTAGGGCGGACACCAACGCAGGAGAAACACAATTTCGCTAAACCAAATACAAGGACAAAATAAATTAACACCGACTTCTATCACGTTGGGCGGTGCCCAATGTTATCTCTTACGTCACATGATCCATCACGAGTGAATGGTCCAATGACGAGAAAAAACTTGACGCTACATAACCTCAGAAGCTGTTACGGCGTCGTAAAACAGCCGAAGTGAATGAACTACAAGAAGTAACTGTGGGGTTTCATCACACTTTCCTTCTCACTTTTTTCGCTTGGTGCTTTCTAAACTTCGTCATAAACAACAGCGAAACAACACACTCGTGTAAACTCGTGAAGTGGCTTCAACATGAACGCTGTTTGGCGCAATGTGACGTATTTCGTGCTTCGGGAGACTTTAACGCCTACATTGAACCAGATGGTTAGTTACAGTTCGTAAAAAACCAACCACTGTAGCATAAATCCACTCCATATCCACATAATTTATTTATCCAAAACCCATTTTACATTGTCTTCGGTGCTTAGGTCTCGCATGTGATCTCTTTCCATCAGATTTTCCAACCAAAATGTATCTCTTTCGTGTTACAGACGACGCCCGCACCTCAGCAACAGTAGGTAATAACAAATTATCAAGTTCCTCATTTACGAAGTACTTTCCACCTCCCTGCTACGTCTTTGACCGAGCCAGAAGTTTTTGTTAAAAAAGTAATACACTGATAAAGGAAAGTTGTCTGTATCCTAAAACCGTTTCGGTGTAAAAATGATATGGCTACATCATCCGTCACTAGCTGTAGCGTAGCTATATCGACTTTACATGTTGCCATAACAACCACGGCTAGCAAAACTGGGCATATTATAGGCCCTTCATACGCAATTCAACATCAGATACCAATTAATTCATAATTCGTGTAAGCACCCGATTCTAATGAAATGTTCGTAGCTTGCACGTAGAATGACGAACAATACATAAATGTACTAGAACGGTTTCAAACAAAGGCAGAGAAATTTAAATCATGAGACTGATAAACATCATGACATAAAGTCAGAATACACATAATTTAAAAATGTATCACGGCTGAACTCAACCTGAACACACGACAGACGCATAATAAAAATATGAGCAAAATAAATTAGGAAAAATGCCAGTTATCACTCATTCAGAATATTTTACGGTCTGTTTCCTACCCAGAAATCTTTAGGAATGGGGTTGCCAACTCAAGACCAGCATTTAATAAATTAAATGACTGCCTTAATAAAATGACCTCGTTCAAGATCTTAAGAATTCGAGAAACCCTGCACTAAAACAAAACTAATTCACCTGTAGTTTTGAACAAGTGTTTGTTAAACGTGGTCTCTCGTACCAACCGCACGTGAACAACACTGTGTTTCACTATTGTGCGTTCATTTTATGCACTGATTCGTAAACTAACAAAAACGTAATGATAAACTATATTAAATAAGGCATGTACTGTTGAAGGGTGCAGAAGGTACGAAGTCGAGCGTGAACTTTGTGTGTCTGGGGTTAGACACATTTAACAGAAACCCGAAACCATGGCAACGGATGAAAATGAGGTACATGAAATATTCAATCTGCACTTGCTGTTTCAAAAAACGCAATTTCATGTCGACAAATATTACAAGGGCCGGTGCAGAATGTTCAAACTCGAGTGGGAAATGCCGTCTCACTGTTAGTCAAGGACGCTAAACAATGGTTAACATTTCTTTAGACTGAATTGCTAACAGAAAATTGTATTTTATCCCTAGATCTAAGGATGCAACATTCGCTTCCATACACCAAGCTTGTTTTTGAGACCACGTTATGAAATCTTAAAAGGCAGTCCAACAAAGATTTCAAAACGTGGCCTCAAAAAGAAGCTTATTATATTGAAGCGAATGTTGAATCCTTGCATCTCGGGACAAACAAAGAGTAGAAGCAGAACAGCGAGAATTTTTATGTAGACTGAGAGATGATGTGAAGATTTCAAGACGGATGTCGTTAATAAAATCTTCTCGGGGCCAGCAGCCTTGAAAATGATGACAGATATGGCCCTCGAAACGTCGGCATTGTTCAACCAAGTGACGAGGTTGCTGGACCGAGAAGAACTTCCGAGACTGACAACGAAGCGGGGATATAAGGAATGAGTTTGGCAACATTAAGGAAAAGTAATGTTAACTACAGAACTACATATCACCACAAAAATGTTTCAACTACACACTTCGGAGGGAAACGGTATTTAGGAAGACCACGAATGATAGTTTGGACAGGTTAGCATATGTGAGTACAGATTGCTAGATTTTAGGTCGCTTTATCACAGTTTTCCACGGGTTTCAACAACTCCGGCATCGTATGAACAAGTCCTGGCAGGTTGGGAGCGGTTTGGCCACATTCGAAAAGGTTTCGACAACTTTCTACAGATTTCCAAAGGTTAAAGTTTGTTTACATAATAATGCACATACGTACTATATCAATGACCACCACGCCATCAATACTGCAAAGAGCCTAAACCTTTATAAGAAAAAGTAGTTGAAAAACTACCCAACAGCCTAGCAGACGTTTACCAACGTGTCAGAAATGCTTGCTACCTCAGCCATCAGGCCGATAAGTACCCCAAACATCTACCAGACAACACGGCGCAACATTCCAGAAAACAGCCAACATATTCGCAGCTGTAAGAACCTGAAATCTCATCTACGAATCTATTCAACGCAAACTTAAGTTCAACTACGAAGGGCTTACGTACGTATATAACCACACTAAAGAAATAATCAACTTTTATTGCACTTCACAACCAGAGACAAGCTGCCATAAATTCCGCAAAATCTAACGGTATCGCCAACTCTCCAGAGAAATGGTTCAACTATTTTCTGTCTTAGCCCCTCCCACCCCACCAAACACTGCTTCTGTGTCGTTAAGAGCCGGCTTTACGGGTACAACATTCAACACTGCTCAAAAACTTCACAATCTTAATGCATATGCAGAATAAGAATCATTTTCTTCCGCATTGCTGTACACTTGGAATGGACATTCTTAATAATAGGCCAACCTCCTCATCTCGTAGTGTAACCACTCGTTACAAATGTGCCTCTAACGACCGAGTCATGACAAAATAACTTATCTGGTGCTCGTGAAATGTTATCAAAAATTTGGCGCGTTTATGTTCGTAACTTAGGACCGGGTTGAAATGTAGTTAATGTAAACTCATCTGATACATTTTGATCACATTACAACCTCAAATAGTGACCACGACATAGCACGTGTTTCCACGGGCGTCAGACTAAAAACAATTACGATATTATTTGAGAACGAAATTTTCAGAACCGATTCTGTGATAAACATATTTCTTTCTCATACTGCGGACATGAAAATACCACAACTTCCTCTATCCTGCCTTAATCTGAAACTGGTCGTAAGGAACTTAAACTGATTAGACAGAAAGTAGACCAAGTTCTACAGCTCGATAGTTTTTCCTTAAAAACTCTATAATACAATCATAAATGCATCACTCAAAGCTCATCCGAGCAGCTGCTTTCTGTTCAATGTCAGGCAATCTACAACAACTAACAGAATTCTGACCAGGTAGCAAAATAATAAATGTCTGTTGTTGTTAACACCATTAAACTATTTGCATATCTGCCTTACAATTCAAGGGACCCTACAAGCTCAAATTTATATTTCGATTTGTCTGTGCACACAAATCACATGTGAGACAAAATCAGTTGGCTATGCGGAGACCAAAAATCTTGTTCTGAATAAAACTTGGCTAGTATTAAAAATTTATTTGCGTATACAACCCTAAACGCGTGTATTGTAATCAGCACGTCATACGTCTACCATTCCCCACATTGAACTGCACACACAAATCTGCGTCAAAATCTGTATTTTGTGTGTGGAAGAATAAATAATTCTGATCGCAGAACAGATTTCTCACTATTTCCCCCAAACGACACCTCAAACTACTCATTCAAAAACAATATCGAAACGACGACAAATGCTACTCCAGGGACGTGTACCACACGGTGCACACCCCATCTGAAGTACCAGTGGAAACACGCAAATATCGCGCCACCTCTAGAACTAACAGAACTTACCGTATGCCGTCAGTCAGACAGGAATCAATGCCCTCTCGTCTTTTAAAGGTTTATGGTGCTGCGACCTGGAAAAACAAAAGGACAGAAAATCTGAGTAACAGGACACGAAGCATCCATCATCTTGTATATGTCGACCTCACCAATCAGCCATCACGCCGACGGGCTGAAGGACAGACACACAACCACATAAATCTACGTCAAGTCGGCGACTGCAAGGTTGGCATGAACGGAAATCAAGGTACGAACCAGACATCGAAATAAAAAAAATCCCAAAAAAAGAGGGAAGACGGTAAATTAGGTGGTCTACTGCAAAAATTGTTAGAAGTAGAGTTAGTCAGACTCCTTGAACGGGCGGTAACCCCGTTGTAAGGCCTCTACCTACAAGCGAAAAACCGGACCACATCCATGAGTCGTGTGCATTCGAACCCACGGCCCCAGTGTTCAAGCGGTCAAGACCCTCGCTCTCGACCGCAAGGCCACTGCGATCGGCCAACATCACACTAATCGCAACTCGTACAAACGATATCAGCGCAACTGCAGTAACAGGCGATTCCCCGCTGCAGTCCGCAAAGTGTCGCTTGTCCTGTCACAAAATGAAACGGCCTCGAACCGGTGGAGTGGAAAATAGGTAAATTCCGACAATTCATCCAAAATAAAAACACCAAGTTAATGATGACGTGTAAAATTATGAGAAACACGTTATTTCAATTGGCGTAACGTGGGTCTACGACTATAACAATACCATCACTTACACGGTCATCCAAGTAGCATATTCGTGATACACCTCGTTTCGAAGGTTTTGTGACATTACAAAGCCAAAGGAATTCTGAAACGTGTTTCAGTGTGTTCACATCCTGAAACCGTAGTGGTCAAAAATTCACAATGACGTACATCGCGTGTCTGGAATTCTTGTGTGGCTCTGAAATTCCTTACATTTGGCTCACGTCCTGAAACCGTAAATAGTACCAAAACATAATCACGTGCATCATGAGTCTGGAATTGTTATGTGCTGTACTCGAATCCATACCTCTTCTCATTTCTACAGAAGCTCCAGTTTAAGTGACAGCTCAGTAAATCCACCCTTCAAACCCCAGTGCGAATACGTACCTCCTGCTTTAAAAATCAGCAACTGTGCATTTTGAATTAATGGGTCTTGTATGGTTCTCAGTGCAAACAGAGATTTTTTTTAAACAGCATTAACCAGTTTATATATGTAATAGTGAGGTGTTGTGTTTTCTTTGCGGTACGGACAGAATTTTTAAATATTATTTAGACAAGCATCGGATTCAAAGGGTTAAATGTCGAGATGTCGTCATATTTCGAGTGGTAACTACAAGCAACAGATAAATGATCAAGTTCGTGGACCTGTAAGTAGGCCGACTTGCTACTTGTTACATCTAAATGGTGTTTACTTTCGACTCAGCGAAGTACAAGTTGCTGTATGTGAATAAGTGTTTCTGAAATACTATAGATCATGACTACCAGTTACGAGGTGCGATCGGAAAGTTTCAAGACTGTGTCAATAGAGGGCGAACCGGATGTAGTACGAGCTTCTGCCGCTAGGGGGTGCGGCCTACA